AATTACACAATACAAAAATGGTCTTGTAGTCAACTTCATTAAAGCAACTCTGACCGCACCATGGTAATGCAGGTTCGACTTGTAGATCCATTCCCAAAATGTTGATATAATGTTGATAATGCCGAGCAGCAGAATAACAACTGTATGTTTGCTACTTCTCCACTATCCTCCGCAGAGGCTTTTTCATATTGAGATATTAATACCGTAAACTGTTGAAGAAACCTCTAGAAAGTTATTGTCGTACAGTCTTGAACTGTCTGTGCCAGGTAGGTATAGTGCCAATATAAATTTACAAGCTTTCGTTGATACGGATACAACTACCTGAAAAATAAAGGGCCTTCGCTCGAAACGTCGAAATTCTCCTTATATTTTTCAATCAGCTTTAGTATTATATATATAGTCGGTGTTATAACTGTGTTTAAGTTAAATTTTAATTGTTTCCTGCCAGTTAAGCCCATGTGAGTTTCCTGCCAGTTAATGAGAGTTGAGAAGCGAGAGTTTGGATGAGAGTTTTCTCAACTCTCGTGTCCCGATAAACAAGAACAAGTCAGAGTTGCATAATAGTTGATGAGAGTTGACTGGATATTATCGCGCGCGCAGCTAAAAGTCACATCAATTCTCATCAAAATTTAAACCAGTTCAAAGTTGAGAGTTGATGAGAGTTGGTGGTTAAATGCAACCGATCATCAACTCTCATCAAATATCATCCTCGTTAATTTGACCGGGCTTTAAACTACCAGAACAACAATCCTCTTTCTTCTTGTTTGCGCAGAAAAGTTCGAGTAGTCAAAAGCAACAGATTCCATCTGTTGGTAAATTACTGTTTGAAGAAACCTTACGAGATGTAGTACCACCAAGACCTCTACAAACTACCAAACATTGTACTTATCGTGATCCAGTCAAGAGACATGGTGCTCAGTTTCAGGTATGCTTTTCCAACCTATAAGATAAACACAATTACATTTACAATACTGGCAGTAAAAACCCGCATAACAGAACCAGCGGAATATGAACCACCAGGCTGACAAGTGAGACTGGTTTTCAAAAAACCCTTTAGAATGCATGTTCTCATAGCAGCTATGGGTTTTGCCAGATATATGCTTGATTTAATACCATTACAAATGCAAAAAACATAACTATTAATCCATTATTTCGTACTCAATTCAGGATACATTTCACCAAATTCGTAGCCTCTTAAATAGCAAGTACAGTCAACAGCTCACCAATTTGGGAAACAAATAATATACAACAATATAGCATGCAGGAACAATTGTTTTTGACTAGAAATAAGAATCAGTTAAAAACCAATTCAGCCTGATAGTAATAAAACAATTCTCCACCATCACCAAAAAATAAACCTTGGGTCTTGTTTGTCAAGATAACGTGTATCGTGAGCCGCTGGTGCGGGTGAATTACTGAATTTACGACGCATCATGCACCTCTGCATAATATTGTGTCCCAATTTACTTTTCAATTATTAATATGCATTGGCAATTCTTGAATGTATAGGTATTAAGAATGTTGTTACCTATATGTTGACTACATTTCCTTTACACTTTCTAATAATACAATTTGTTTGTAACTGTTCCTTTCTTATTTGATCCTTTCTACATTTTTAGGAAATAAGAGCTATACAAATTCGAAGTAAGTCAATGAAGAACAGAAGTTTTTTACAGTAATCTTTGTATTTCAATCCTATTGCGCCATATCAATAAAGTACCTAAAATAATATAGACCGATTCGAAAACCACCTGCCATTTACTTATTGTAGGTTTCCTGGTACATTCATGTTGCAAAACTGCATGTGTTCAGTGCAGTAAAAGTGGAAAACTAATATGATTAAATTGTACGAATTTTAGAGGCCGTTCAAAATGCTGAGCTTCAGAAATTATTTACGTCTTGGTTACGCCGTGGAGGATTTAATACAGGGACAGGGGTAATATATCTTGCAGCATTATTTGAAAAACTTGTTTTATCAGCCTAGAACTTAGGTTAACCTTAGGGCCTGCTGATTTCTCTTTTTCGTTCTTTCCGTTTTGGGATCTGAGTGTTCAAATTGAGCCAAAACGGTATGTCGGCGGGGTGGGTGGCAGGGTGGGGGACATGGGGAAGAAATAACGAGAATTGCAGGTTCACTTCAATGGTGGCCAGTGCTTCCACTCTCAAACCCAGTTTTTGGTAATTTATCACGATTTTAACCATTACAAATATGATATGATACGATATGGTGTTGCATTGTATACGATTAAATCCCGCTACAAGGGAAACAGACAAAAGTTCGCTCCAAACTGAGTTTTAAGTGTATTAGAGTTAACCGGGTAAATGTATGGCATTGTATAAGCATGGTATGGTATGGTACTGCATATAGCATGATATGGCATTGTATTGCATTGTATTGTATTGTATTGTATTGTATTGTATTGTATTTTAAAAAAATCATTAATAATTCACGAAGGAAATTACAAAAGAAATGAATGTTTAATCAATGTTTGTAAATCGGATAAAGATTTGTCCTGATTTACATAAACTTCAGCTTTGATTTTCTCGGCTTAGACAATGTTTAT